CACTGTTGTCGAGCACACCCGGTCCTCTTAAATAGACCATCCTCTCGCAGCCGTCCTCATATTAACGCCCTGAAGAAATCCAGGAGAATAGATGAGAGACAGAGACACATGTTTACTCATCAGGCCTAACACGTCGCAACAGGCAGGTCAGGATTTCTTAACCTGCGTGGTAATCAGAAACCTGTCWGCACCCTGCCCCTCCCCCGGTCCACATTCTGGACCAAAGAGCCTGCYGAGGCTCTGTGGGGTCTGCAGGGCCGGACACTTCTAATGAAGGAGGAGAGGCACCGATGTATGGGCTTCTACTGGTAAAAATCAGTGTGTCAAAGTGGATGAAGAGCTTCCAACCATATGGTCATCAGGTGACTGGGTTAAAGTCTAATTGGATTGATCTAATCTACATTAACCTGACTGTGAACAAACAATATCCATTTTAGAGGAAGTTTTGTATAAGTTGTTAAAAGAAATTCAAGTAAACATTAATGACCCAGTGTCTTGCAATGAGAACGGGACAGAGTTATAGACGCTTTGATCAAATGACTTGTGCCATCTCATGCAAGAACTCACATGATTGGATGACTYTCAGCTAATACCACACCAAATCTTAGCTCAGTAYTGGTATAACTGACTGACTTTTGCATTGGCCTAAGTTGATTAGCTTTGGGAAAACCCTGCATTTGGGTTGATTTAAAAAAATAATGGAGTCAGGTTCTTTGGGAACGCAGTCCAAAGCWGGTGGACAATTTCATCTAATATCAGTATAGACGGCCAAATAAATCACTGCCCAGATTAAACTCAGGWATGGTTTGGTGCAGGCCAGAGTATACCCCAGGCCAGGCTATACCCCTCATAACAAACRTTTAGAGATTTAGGACTCATTTAACTTACCTGACAAAGCCGAATAATTGCTAATCCACTCAGATTAGCYATTAGTTCGTCAATCTGGTCGTTTCTCCAAATTGAGGTCATTGAAGGAGCTATCTACAACAGGTAAGATATTGTTTATAAGCTTTCCACAAAAACAAARCATAATTTAAAAAAGGCTCTAATCCCATCAAGGCCGACAGTCGTCCTCCTGCTCTCAGATTGCTTGTTTGTTCAGCTCTGCCTGTTATTTGATTAACAATGTCAGTGAGGGCAAACAGACTTTGAGCTGATGGCAGGAAGGAGCCACACCCAGAAACTAAAATAAATAAATAATGACCCATATATGTGTTTTAAGATCAAAATTATAGCAAAACCTCAACAACCTATGAACTCACATTTGTTTTGTTTTCTGTGTGAGACAATGCTGTTCAACCGGTTTGTGTGTGCCTGACTTTCCTTTCCTCAGACACCTGTCTGCAAGTGAGAACACCCATGAATCATCTGCACGAATTCATGTTTTCTACACTTCTTCCTTACTGGATTGAAAGAAAAGCAGGAAAGATTCAGGTTTTAAAGGAACACATCTTTAAGTTGAGCTAATAACACCAAACCAATTTCCCAGACGTGCCATTCAATCGTGTTTTCGGTCAGCTTAGCGCCTTGAGTTACAAAGGCTGACCAAACGGACACAAAAGAACACCTGGATGTATTTCCCAGAACCACGGTGTTGTGCTCCTGAACTTGGCTCCACACAAATGAGATCTGTTTCACGTGTCGCCTCRGGTTAGATTAACAGCAAACACTGCGTCATCAGTTTACAGCAGCGGGGGATGAAACCAGACCTTCATAACAACCACAAAATATACACAAGATAAATTTTTTAAATTATTATTATTTTACCATTGTTTAACCAAGCAAATCCCATTGAGATCACAGATCTTTTTCAAGGGAGGCCTGGGCCTGAATTCAACCTATTGTACGTTTTTGGAAAGAATTAGTGACGGACTATAAAATCAGTGCTATAAATATAGATTTTAAAGTGGCATAGATGGTTTGTGTGAACTAAAACAATCAGATGACCTGAGATAATTCTTATCACGAGTTTTACAATGGTTTCATCGTACATCTAAAATCTTTTATGTTTCGTAACGAGGAAGTGCCAGAATTACAGGTCACTGACTCATCAGTTTCCCCTTAAATTCACAAAGTTTGTAACTCTAGCTGTGCCTGAAATCATTTCCTTCATTCAAGCTATAAACTGGAAGTTAGGCCAGAATTGGTTTTGTTTTGTAACACAGACTCGCAGAAGTGGCAGAAGACACGGAAATGGATCCATCCTTTGAGGAATGATTATTCCTCCATTCATCCACYGGCTCAGTCATAACACACATTTCATAACAAAACTCACCTCAAAGCAGCAAGTTTTACTAAAACAGTAGTTTTTATTTTTTTTAGAAAAAGAAACTATCACAACTTCATCTGATTACTGTACATTTTTTTCATCTTATAGTCAGTCTTATAACAGGCTGTGATCTCATGCTGAACACCAAGCACCCGCCTACTAACACACCATTAGCCTAACACGTTAACACACCGTATCCTCTTCCTTCAGGTTTTTACATCCGTTTGATAATCTGGAGTGAAAAGCATTAAAAACCACTTCTATGTGTTTCGTTATATTTATATATTTATAAAAAACAATATGGAGACCAAGTTAAAAATCCCTGACGATGTCATTTAGAAATACGAGGGACGAGAGAAAGCACTCTTTAAAAACGGTGTGGTCCACATCAACATGCACCTGACATGTTTTCATGTTTAGTTTGGACAGCACCAGAATTCACTAGTTATGCACGTTAAAGAGGTTCCCTGGCCTACATGATGAGACAGAGTGAGAGGGGGTTAGAGCTGAGTGAATCTAGGTCAGAATGTGGCGCATGCATACCCCCCACACACTGCAGAACATCAGAAACAGCCTCTTGCTCCTGGTGGACAGAACTGCATGCGTGTTCATCTTTATGAGAGTCACAGAAAAAAATAAAAACAAAACTAAAATAATAATAAAAAAAAGATGTTTCCCTGAGAAACCCTTCATTCTTCAGTACCTTTAGAAACCTTTCTTCCACCACTGGGCCTGTCATCTACACCTCTCTCCCTCCCCATTAGAGAGAAACAAGGGGGAGGGGCTTAAATTCAAACATACCTGCTCCTCCTAACTAGGCCTGTCGCGATAACAAATTTTGCTGGGCGATGGCTACGTTGCATCACAAATTATCGCGATAAACGATATTGTTTGTTTCAACCCATGACACTCATAATGAAATTGATTGACCTCGTTTTAATTTAGCCTTTAATTAATCGATTTAGCGCGACAGGCCTGCTCCTAACACCCTGAGACAACCCTATCCTCGCCTCGCSTTGTCCGTTTGTTTTGGAATCCAACCTCCACATGTTCAACAACCTCACGCGTGTTTACGTGCACCAGCTTAACACGTGAAGCGAGCGTGACGGTGACACCTTTGTGACAGTTTGAGCAGCGCTGCTGTTCTCCCAGAACCGTCTCGTCCTCACTTTTCTACGGGAGGAAGAGGAGGTCGTGGGGGTAAAGGCTGGAAATAGGTTGTCTCGTGCCCTTTTTCTTTTTGACAGTAGCGCCACTACTAACGCAAACACACACACACATTACTGTAACACGATGAGCTGACACGCAAGCACCAGGGCGGCAGGAAAGATCGACAAAAATGAATGCCTTTGTCATGATTCAAGAGGAAAAAAGCCAGTCCTGTAAAACCTGTTTAAAAGACATTTATAGTCTGTGAAGAACGGATCCTTGCCCAAATACTAAACATGATTTTTTTCCCCCCAGCTGAACTTTAACATAAAAACGTATAATCTCTGTAGCCCTTTTCAAGTTTCACACGTATGAAAATGGCGGCGTTCTGTGTAAAATGGAGCAAGTGACAGTGCAGGTGTGCATTTTCTGTTTGCTAAATTACAAAACACTCGTGTGAAATCAAAGTTAAAAACATTTTCTTTTTACCAAAGCTGTTCTGATCACACAAGGCATTAAAGTATCATCTAAACCAAACGTCGTCAACGGGCTGTAAACTGAAAAGTTACAGTCACTGTATATTTATATATAAAAAAGCTTTAATGCTTTTTTAAATTTCAGAATCTTTTCATGTTTTGCTAATATTAAAACCAGGAACTGGGGTGTCGACACCTCTCAGTAGAAAACAAATAAAAAGGAACAACCAAACGAGTTTTAAAACCACGTTCTCCGGACTCCTCCTGAGGAGCGCATGGAGACAAAGAGGAGCTTTGAGAACTCTCTCTTTATTAGGAGACAAGTTTAGGGAGGACTGTGCGAAGAGGTATGGCCTCCCCTGAATCTCCCATCATGCTGCTCTTCAGTTTGTTGCCGGCAGCTGTGGTGCTTAAGCCCGACCCCCCTTTGGCCAGGATGGAGGGGAAGGAGGTGCTGTGGTGCTCGACGAGTGGTTTCACAGTGGCCCCGTGGCTCTTCTCAGTCTCGGGCAGGGGTTTGGGAAGCCGGTGATACAGCCAGGGGTGTCTGAGGGCCTGGCTGGGGGTGAGGCGAGACGAGGGGTCCCAGTCCAAACACTTCTTTAAGAAGTCAGTAAAGGTGGGGTCCTCGCAGCCTTTGAGCGCCACACTCCAGTCCTTGCTGCCCGGGGGGCCTCTCGTTTTGCCGCGGCGAGAGCGGGACCCCGTCAGAACCGTGGCCCCCGTCGGCAGGGTGTTGACTCCGCAGTAGCGGGGGTGGCCCTTGGAATTGATGAAGTTTTTGGCTCTTTTGGCCTGCTCTAGAATCTTTTGCGGGGGCATGCCCAGTAGCTCCATGACACAAGCCAGCTGGTCGCCCTCGTCCTCGCCGGGGAACAACGGGTGGCCCGTCAGCAGCTCGGCCAGGATGCAGCCGAAGCTCCACATGTCGATGGCGAGGCCGTAACGGGAGCCGAGGATCACCTCTGGTGCTCGGTAGAAACGAGACTGGATGTAGGTGTACACTCGCTGGTGCTCGAAACAACTGGAGCCAAAGTCAATCACCTGGYAGAGGCGAGAAAAGAAAACAAACGTATAAATATGAACCCAGCATTTAGGAAAAAGTTGTTTAATCAGCAGGAACATGGCTGTTTTACCTTGATGCCGCTGCGACCGTGCTGTTTAAGCAGGATGTTCTCTGGTTTCAGGTCACAGTGGATGATCCTGTGCCTGTACAGGGCGTCCAGGCACTGCAGGATGGAGTGAGCGAACTTCCTGACCAGAAGCAGACTGAAGCCCTGGAACTTATTGCGCTTGATCAGCTCGTACAGGTTCATGCTCAGCAGCTCAAAGGTCATGCAGATGTGGTTCCGGAAGGTGAAGTTTTCCAGCATGTGCACCACATTCATGGTGCCGTTACGGTCCTGCTTGCGCAGGTGCTCCAGGATGCGGATTTCCTCCTGTGCCTGCCGGTGGAAGCGCTTCTCGTTGCGCACCACTTTCAGAGCCAGGTGTTGATGCATTTTGTGGTCGTACACTTTAGCCACCTGCCCAAAGCTGCCTTTACCGATGATCTGAAAAAGAGATGGGGAGCACTTTGAGCAACGTGCAGTATCGAAGCTTTAAAGTGAACTTTAAAAAGTGCCGTACTTTGAGGAACTCGTATCGGTATGCCAGGTGATCGTGGGGAACGTGAATGTAACCTCCCTGCTCATCATCATAACCACAGTTGTTGTTGCCTCCAGCTACAGCGGGCCTTTTCTTGGCGTTGGGTCCCACAAAGTAAATCCCCGGGTAGGAGTGGATCTCTGTCTGCTCCAGAGACGTGAGCTGGGGTCGATAAAGTCTCAAAGCCTGGTCGGGAGTCAGCGGGGCGTAAACCTTGGTTCCTCCCTTTACAGCTCCGTGTGAGCCGGAGGAGTTGCTGGAGCTTTTACTGGACTCACTGCTGTGAAACAAAAACAAAAACAATTTAACGCTCTCCTMACAAAATATTTCTATATTTTTATCGCCTTTTTAAAACCTGATGTTGCATCTGCCTCACCTTTCCACACTGTGTTCCTTAGACAGAGAGGAGACCGGGGCAGACTTGGTGGGTGTTTGACCAGCACTGCCACCGTTCTGAGTGATCGTTGTGGTGATGGTGTTGATTTTACGGTTGTTGGTCGAGTCTTCATACAGGTGCTTGACCTTCAGCTGGCCACCTCGTACGCTCACCTGATCCTTCATTACAGTTTTATTACTCACAACCTATAGAGGAAAGATAAGAATTTAATCAAAATGTAAAAAGGTAAATCTAAAACATTATTTCACAATGTGAATAAAAGAAATCTTGTTTTCCAAAAGAGAAATCTGAGTGAATCTGGTTCAAGTTTTGTTTCATTGAAACATAAATATCAACAAATAACTCTCAGGTCAGAAGCCGTGAACAGGGAAGTGAAACAAACAGCATTCTGTTAGTGAACTGGCACGACTGGATTTAAATCCAGTCCGACTGTAAATGCTTTACAGGTTACAGACCCACACCCAACCAAAAACACAGTGGTATGCCTCTGTACTCACAGTTCGCTTTACAGCTGTTAAAAATAAACTAACATCAATCTGTGTCTGATAAACTCCCAAATCTTGTCTGATACGTAACCTTTTGAAGTAATTTGTATTGTTTTTAAGCAACAAAACAGGTGTCTGATCACAAACACAAAAAGTGAGGTCATCTCTTAGAGTTAAGGGGACTAGAAGAGTTTCAAAACAAGGCTTAGAATCGTTCCAGTAACCAGTGAAGCTTGGCAACCCCCAAAAATTCACTCTTCCTCACTGACCGCCCAACTTTTCTATTTCTCACCAGCGGAAAAACCCTCCACAAGATTATGGAGAACAGAAGGAAAAATAGTCATTAAAGTTAGATTATACTCTTAAACTATAGAAGCGGTGCAGACTTACGGACATAAATTCAGCACGGCCTCCCAGCACAGTTACACTCACAAGGACGTCGAGTTCTTATTTGTCTTTCACATGAAGACTTTCTCTTCTGAGCGGCTTGTAAGTGGAAAGCTGAACGCAGGGAGCAGTAAAAATTGTTCTTTACAAGTAGGTGTTGACATGTTCCCTTGAAAGAGGACTCAGCTGATGGCAAAGTGTTTGTGTTGTAAGTTTGAGTCTTAAAATAGAGGCGGATGACGGGATTGATTTCCATACATGTAACTATATAGATGTAACTTATCAGAACCCCTGCTGCTGAACCAGACGCAGCTGCTGTCCGAAATCTATATCGCAGCAAATGTCATCGATCGGGGTGCTTCACTCACGCAAGCATGTGGACGTTGACACACAAAAAAAGGGGGAGAAAATCAAAGCTTTCCACGTGCGCTGTTGTAAATGATTGACAGGGCGAAGGGTAAAATCAGAGGAAAATGTTTCACAGTCATATCTTCTCTAACAGGTATTACGAAGGGTGATGAGTCTCCGGTGCAAATCTGTGTGCTGCGACAGATGGAGAACAGCTAATCTCTTTGCCATCAGAGACACACAATATCAGGCGCTCCAAAACTCCACATATGTAGAATGAACCTGCACCAAACAGATTAAAACTTAAAAATCTCCACCTTTAGGTTGGGTCTCCATCATAACACTAATGCAAGTGGCAGCCATGAGCATGAACATCACATCTCTCTGCAGCATGAATCTGAACTCCAAACATGCTGAACTGGGGCGGGTTACAGTCCGTCACATTCACTAGAGGACAGCACCTTTGTGAGCGTGACAGAAAAATACAAAAGAAGCACGGCTAGAATGGAAAAGTGGGCCTAACCTCTGTGCGAGCGTTGAGAGATGGAGGGGCTGATTGGTGATGTTGTTTGTGGGTCACATTTTCAAGTCCAATAAATCTTTACAATTTATCAAACCAGCCTTTCTGCTCTGATGTAGTGCATCACTGTTTTCATGTGCAAACTTCCTACTGATGAGGAGAAAATCCCTCCAACTGGATTACAATGTTTCATTTCAGGGCCTGATGACCATTTTATGTAAACAATCTATTCTCTAGTGCAGTGGTTCCCAAACTTTTTATCTTCTGACCCACAAAATATCCATGGCAAAAACTTGTGACCCCAAATATTACTGGTCTGAGTACATGAACTTCATTAATAACCCTAAAAACACAGGTTTTTTTTGATAATCTAAACGTAAACAGCTTGTACACAAATATAAATACGTATTTATACTGATTTTGGGTTTTTGTAATAGTATAGGGAAAATACTACATCAGCAATTATTTTATTACCCTTTACATTGATTTCTGGAGATTATCCAAGGTGCTTCATGACCCATAATTGGGTCCCAAGCCCAACTTTGGGAACCAAAGTGCAGTGGTTCCCAAACTTTTCAGCTTTTGACCCACAAAATAACAGTAGCAGAGACCTGTGCCCCCAGHTRTTTTTGGATGATAAACATTTGTATCAGATCAACAAAACATGGGCATAGTAACAATATTTTTATACTACATATACCCATTTTAAATACACTAACCTCACTCCTTTGTAATAACTAAGGCAAAAATATAATTAATTCCGAAAATCTTTTCAGGACCCCACCTTGATGTTTCGGGACCCCACTTTGGGTCCCGACCCCAACTTTGGGAAACACTGCTCTAGCGAGTTGTGAAGCTACAAATGAAGACGACCGTGATCTGATGAGTCAAATTACTGAAAGGTCTAAGATCTTGAAATGGGAAGGTTAGAAACACTATCTTACTTGTTGTAGATCGTTCTTTGAACACTTCTGAAGGTGTTCCTCTAAGAAATGTCATAGTGGTTCAAGTGAACATTGTAAATAAATCTTTGTTTTTAAATTGCTGTCAAGGCTGCATTACACAATTATTCCAGCAGAAACACAATATTCCTGCAGAAATTGCTCCAGGCTGCATTTAAAGCCGTGTACCATGTTATACAAAACGGATGATGCAACAATTTTTAGGATAGTCTTCACATGAACCACTGCGAAAGTTGAGTTGTTTTAAGATGGCAGCAGCCCACTTTGGTCTCGACTGTGCCCGGACCTTTCGTTTATTATCAGTGGGACAGAATTGAAAGGTTCATTGTTCACAACTTTTTCTTCAAAACCTCACTTCAAAAGGTTTTAATTATCACTCGCAACTTATCAGCTGCATCTTATATTTACGTTTCCTGTAGCCCCATACATACAAGGTAATACACTCCCAATCTACAGATTAAGACAACAAACAATTTACCACGACGGTAAGACCGGACGTGGACGGAACCAGAGGATGCCAAACATTAAATTTGCTCACGTCAACGTTCCTTTCTTTAATCTGCAGTCACAGGGAGATGCTTGATAAAGCAACAATTCTCACAAGCCCTAAGGAAGTCAATCAATATCACTCGTGTGTTTAAGTTATTCTCACTGAGAGGGAGATAAGAGAGAGAGAGAGTCTGAGATCAGCACAGAAACACTGAGGAATGGAGGATGAGTGTGATGAAGAGACAAGAGGGTTGACTAGGGGATATCTCTCCGAGGATAGCGAGGTCTCAAGACAGGAAACAGTGTTTAGCTGGCTGCGTGTGAGTTTTGTTTACTCACTGTGTGTTTGGGCATCGGGGGCAACCCAGAAGGACTGTTTGTATCGGCTTCGTCTTTTAGGATGTGGTCTGTCCTCATGTACGAATCGTACAGGCCGTCACCGTGGCGCACTGAGGGGACAGGAGTGGACAGATAAATCAGCGTGAAAACAAAACTTAACATCTAACACAAAAAAAAGGGCAGAAAAACTCGAGGTTTAAATCCTCTTCATGTGATTTCTTTAAAGCAGGTGAAGTCAGTGATTTTCTCATCAATTTGTTTACAAACTTTCAAAAACAAGCTCGACACTAAAACAAATGATTTCAGTGTGATAAATCCCTTCAGCTAACCACAGCAGCCAGTGGGAATGAATGGCTGTCTGCCACCACATTTACAGTGAAAAGGCCATTATTAGCAAATACACCATTGTATCTATTGTGTCCAACACATTGTATCCAGAGCCCGGGCCCTGACCTGACCAGCTTAGACGGGGCTTAGGGTCCCAGATCGCTAGCGTTGCAAGTGGTATTATTGGCCTAATGGGGGTAACAGATGYCTCTGTGACGACAGCATCTTTCCATCTGTCCATTCAGGTCAAGTCATTTAAGGCACACGCACCAGGTGTGCTGGGCGTCCGAGCCAACAGAGATGGATGCGGGGGCTTTGCCGTTCAGCAGTGCCGGGTTTCACGCTCACCTCGGTGGCACGGGCCCAAACACCTACAGTAACGTGAGATGATGCAGACGGGACTGGATGGATGAGAGGAGCATTTGGGACAGTAGGAGGAAGCCGGTTAGGAAAAAAAAAAGGGGCAAACACCCATCAGCCGTCTGTTTATCCCAACAGTCAGCTTATCTTACACGCATGTTGATACCTCAGCAACTTGAAGCTGAACAAACCTGCTGAACCCGAGCCRTTTATTTCTGAGTTAGCCCTTTAATAAAAGAGCCCCAATTTTGGAAAATTTGTAGTTCCACCCGACTGCTTCCTGGGAGTGTCGTAACCCTGTGCAGATGCGTCAGAGCCCATCTCCCCTGAGCTCATGGACAGATTAGACCGGCTGTTTGGATACAGGTGTATTAATCCTGCACAGCTCACCAACTAGTATTACACAACATTATACACAGACCACTTCTGCACACCACTGCGCATAATCTTACTTCAAGCAACTTTTTTCCAGTGGAAGAAAACTTAAGCCMAAACCATTTTAACCCAATGAGGAAGAACACTAACAAACAAGAAGCGCAACAGGTCATGTGCCAGAAAAAGTGTCATTTTAAGTTTTTTTTTTTTACATTTCACCTCTTCCTTGTTCTCCAAACAGAGTTTATCTTTGCACCCACATTTTTAACTATAAACCACATCTAATAGAAGCCCTAAAACAATTTATTCTCTTTAAAACTTCCTGGAACGCCTAATGATACAAGGTGCAACAGAGTCAAAATACGTTGTAAAATAATAATGCCGGTGCAAACTCCAAACCAGACTTAATTACAGACTATATAAAACTGCAATAAATACTGTTAAGTGCTTACGAGTTGGGAAGAGAAAACAAGGCTGCACTTCCTGGAATATAGTGCAAAAACCTAAAGAAGAGGGCTTCCGCCATTGATAAGGAAACTCAAGACATGTTTACACCCTTTATCTCCAGGACACAGACTCTACATTAACACACGATCAAATAATAATAATAATAATAATAATAATAATAATAATAATAATAATAGACGTTTGTAGTTATCTGCAGGGATGCAACTCACACTTGCAGCTTCACTGTTTGTTTTTACATCGAATCTGTTGTTTGTTTTCGTGTAAATCGGCTCAAGAAAAGGAAACAAAAGTTGTGACAAAAATAACAAAACTCTTTTTTTGTGGTTACCTGTTGCTATTGGGCCCTCTGGTTTTCTGCTTATTATCATCATAACTGCAATTACAGTGTGACTCCAGCATCCGAAGTGGGGGGAAAAGTCCCAGATAGGTTTTTTTTTTTTTTTTTTACCAAATGTTTACTCTATGAGCAGCAGCTAGCAGAATCAGCTAACATGAACTTAGTTTGCCTTGAAAGTCTTTTTTGTCCGACAATCGTGAAGTTGCTGTTTAAATAACCCAGCTCACGTGGTAGCTTTGTTTTCAGTGTTAATTAGCTCTTCTCTTTGATTAAACAATGATTCCTAGTTTCTATTAAAAATCCAGCATCGTGGAGTCACTCTCATGTTACCCTTCGCTGCAGTCTGGGAGGAGGAGAAAAAAAAAGCTTTCAACAGGCAGTGGGGGTCGTTTCCCTCAGCTAGCCTGCTAGCTAGCTCGCACGACCACAAAAAACACTGGTGCGGACTGAAGCCGCTCCCTTTGAGGAAAAATAGTTTGAGTCCAAATATTACAGCTCGCTGGCCTGGTCCTCGAACCCCTCGCCTTTCTCTGACGGTACAATGCGTCGGTCCAGAGCACCATTCCCGTCCCGGTTTGCTGACTCGGTAGTTAGCAAAACAGCGATGCTGCCCCACTCTCCTCGAGCCCCCGGGACTATTTCGTCCTCCTTCGGGACGGCTTCTTCAGAAACAGCTAGCTAATAAAAAGAAGGAAGTTGCGCACGAGCCCCATGTCTGCTGTAGGAACAAGCTCCTCTTCGCATAAATCTTCAGCTGAAGTCAGCGCGGTGTTAGCGAACTGTTAAATCCTCCTTCAGGCAAAGTATCTTCTACCCAACTGTGTTGTTGCTAAGGGCGTCTTCTCTGTGTGAGCCCGGAGTCAGCAGACACAGGGAGGGAAGGAGGAGGGCGGGGCTTAGAGAGCCCCCTCCCTTTCCTGACATACAGGAACAGCGCCTCACAGCGGCCACATGGAGCACTGCAGGGGGACCTGTGCTGTTGGCAGAACAGGGTCAAATATGATTTAACCACAAAAAGGAGCTTCTTTTCAAGGCAGGACAATAAATGTATAGAAGCCTGCTTCCGCCACTAAAAAAATCAATCATAAATAAAAAATCATAATTGTTTATTTATTTTTCTGTTCAGCTGCTCCCTTCTTCAGGGGCAAATTGGCACGAACATTTGGCATTTTTTTAAAAGTTGATATAATTAACCTTTACCACCCAAATTTTTGGTAAATATCCAGGGATTCAAACCTACACCACGACTGATATGTCATAAACATGACGTTCAAAATCATAATTATGACCCGCAAACCTAAAATCACAACTATCTCATAATTCTGACTTGAAAATTGTAAAAACGACTTTATAACTCCTCTTTATCATTTTGAAACTTATGATTGATGATCGTTTCTCTTTTTTATGACTAAAAATTGAAACTAGTTTTGTTATCCTCAGACGATTAGGAAAATCATATCAAAATAAAGAAGTAGCRAAATAAACATGGTCTACGAGTCACTTCAATAAAGGTCTGATGACTTTTTACAGTTTTTTCCATCATCCTGAGCCACCATACCCACATCATGACACCACCTCCTCAGTTTATAATTCTTATCATGCTGTAAGCCAGCACATTTATTTACTAAAGCACGGACATGAACTTTCCAAACTAAGCTACACCTGTATCGGACTGTGCATGATGTGTTAATAATTTATTTCTTTAAGACTTTTACAGATCCTATAGTATAGTAGTCTTTATTAAGAGGCTAAATAAATCATATTTTTAAGCTATTGAGCAGTGTTTTTATGCACAGATGAGCATGTAAAGTTTTTAATTTATTTTATTTGTATTTTTTGTGGCCCTCTTCAGGGCAACACACTGGTCCCAGACTTTATATACCCTATGAGGAAAACTGTGCACTGAAACTCAAGAGGTCATGGAGATCCAAGCGGGGCTGGAAATAGTCGGAGGCATCGAAGGGGACGGAGGTCGGAGTGGGACCGGGCCGGCATGAGAAGGGGAGCGGGCTAAAATCAGACGGTGATACATGCTGGGCTGAGGGCGAGGCTAATCTTAGCTCTTTCTCAGAGGTGACAAGAGGGTTCTGTCTATATTTGCTGCCATAAATATGCATGCTGACACAGTTTTAGGCCACCCTCTGGACACCGGCCAGCACTTAGGCCCACTTTGGCCATGCAGATTATTCTTGGCGTAGAGAGCAGGGGGTGACAGTGCCTATAAACCGATGTGCTTACTGCACTTTCCTCTAAAAAAAAAAACAACAAAAAGAAAAAAAAGTCTGAGGTGTTAGTGTGCGTTAATCACAAATGGTGCTTTCACAGCTGCAGCAGGGCATAAAACCAGGTGCAGAGCTGCACCTACAGGGTCTTGTGAGGGGAGAGGTGGTGGGGGGGGGGTGATCGGGCTGTATTTGGTCCTCAGTCCTGTGACAGACACTGACACCTGTGAGTTTATGGGTCTAACGCCACACTGTGAAAACACTTTGAACACAAGTAAAACAACCGTTTCACTGAATGTGAAGCAGAGTGCACGACTTAACACTAAAGTGAACACAAACCTGCTAAATAAACACATTTGCATCTCTGAAGAGGGGCACACACAGCTGGGCCTTTGGACAAAGGTCAGATCTCACCACCTGCTGGTCTTTCTGAGGCATTACACTGCAAAAACTGTCCATCTTACCAAGTTTTAAAACCTTATATCCAGCCAAAAAGTCTTTTTGATCTTGTTTTGAGACTGATTTACTAAACAAGAACTGATTGTGTAAGAATAATAATCTTGTTTTCAGAATGTGTAAGATTATTTGTCTTGTTAGCCTGAGAATTTGACTCAGATAAAGTCAAAAATATCTGCCAATGGAGTAAGAAAATTTAACTTGGTAAGATTCTTAAAATAAGAAAAAAGTTGAGTCAATTCAAGCATTTCAAGAATCTTACCAAGTAAAAATTTCTTACTCCATTGGCAGAAATTTTTGACTTGAGTAAAATTTTCAGGCTACAAGATCAACAATAATCTTACACATTCTGAAAACAAGATTATTATTCTTACACAATCAGTTCTTGTTTAGTAAATCAGTCTCAAAACAAGATCAAAAAGACTTTTTGGCTGGATGTAAGATTTTAAAACTTGATTAGGTGGACATTTTTTTGCAGTGCACAAGCTGAGATCTGTTTTTAAAAACAAGTTAAGAAAATAAATAGGTCAACATTGTTTTAAGTTGGGACAAATTTAAACACTCCATTCTGATATTTATTGTCTGCTCTGATAAATCTTCCCAGGAATGTGTATCACCTGCYGCCTTTAATGCCAGAGTTACAGTCTGTGATCACTTTGTGATGGAAAATGATAATGAAAGTGTTTTAGGCCAACTTTAAAACTGTAACAGGAAGTCACACACAGACTGTGGGCTGTGAATGACTCTCAGCTACCGCCACACTAAATTCTACATCATTATCTGCAAATCTAAGTGAATTATAGGCCTTTTTGTGTTTTCCACACTCACATGGATGAAGCAGCCATCTTGTGTTGAATTGGCTTCAAACATTAATCAGTTGTAAATTTACCTCCAGCCATTACTTTCTGAGAGTTTCATTAGAATCCATCCAGCGCTTCTTGAGATATTTTGCTAACAGACCAGGAGACTTGACTCCAAAAAGTTATTGTTAAAGTCTYTAACAAAGGTTTTGAACAATTTGTTAATGCTCAGAATATGTGTTGGGGATGAGCCTCAGCTACTGCTACATCAAAATTTTAGTGCAAAAGCTGTATTATTGACAGAGTTATGACTAGTTTTTTTGTTTTGAAGACCAGTCGGCTGTGGCAGCCGATTTGAGTCGGGCTGGCTCCAGAAATGTATGAATTGTAGACATACATCCAGATAACACTTTGTGCAATTTTCATTAAAAATTTATCCAGAGATTCATGAGATATTTTGCCAACAGACACACAATCAAGCAGTAAAAATTATTATCTATTCACCTTCACCTTTAGACAATGAGCAATAACACTGCTTTAGACTGAACATCGGGATTATCTTTTTATTTCATCTGAATATTCTGTACAGATTTACTCATATTTATACACACTTCTACAGACAAAACAAAATAAAAAAATAAAATAAAACGGTGGGGTGAGGGGGTGAAAAAAAAAGCAACAAAGAGTCATTACACATGGACGTTTGTGAACCATTAAATAAATAACACACACATACCTCCACACAGGATTCCTTGGGAAAAAAAAAAGTCAAGCATTTCTGAGATGGGGAATAAACAGAAGAAGTACAGCACCACCCAAGGAACACATACAGTATTTGCACACATGCAAAACGAAACAAAACAAAACAAAAACAAAAACAAAAACAAAACTAAACACCCGTACGTGTTCGCAGGCACCTGTGTGTGCTGAAACACGGGGGCACGTGAAACAAAAGGCACTGCCAGCAGCAAGAACAGCTGTGGGTGGTGGTCATAAAACACACACACACACACACACACACACACACACACACACACACACACACACACACNCACACACACACACACACACACACACACACACACACACACACACACACACACACACGATAGGAGGAGCATGTGCTCACAGACAACAGGCCTCACTTATGGACCCTAAATAAAAAGCAGAAACGTACAAATGTGAACGTTTCCATGAGATCTTTTTATTTACCGATGCACGCTCTAATTTAAAACACCTTAAAAGCACGTTTTAAAACCTAATAAGTGAGGCTTGAAGGTGGACACACACTCGGATTAAAACACTCTTTATGTTCTCCTCACTATCACAGGATGACAAACACACACACATCAGAAGGAATGACCGCAAAAAAATAAAATAATAAAAACAAAGTTAAACCTTGTCACTCTTTGTGTTTTTCCAGTGTCTACATAACATATATGCATTGCAAACATATCATTGGTACATCATAGCCATTATGATAAATCTTAAATATTTTCCTTTCTTTTTTTTTATTTGAGGAGGAAGGTGTAATGACAAAAAATATTAAATTAAATTAAATAAAATGCAAGCCCAGCCCCCAGAATTATCTGTGGCCTGCATGTGCAAAACAGACGCTGCTTTTACTTTGAAAAAAACTCCAATTTTTAACGCCTCTCATCCTCTATAAATCATCTGATAATTGTCTTCATAAGCTTTGGTGTCAAATTCCTCTCTCGTTCAGCCGTGTTTGGGGAGGTGGGTCGGTTAAGGACAATTCTCGCAGCATCACACGAGGATTTAGGAGGAAAAAAGGCGGTCGTATCAGAGGAGAAGCAACGTTTTCTCGTTTATTTTAGGTGGGGAGATATGAAACGATTCCCTTACAAATCCACATGTCCAGCAAAAGAAAAAAAGGGCTAATTAAAAAAATTAAATAAATAAAAAACAGTCTGATTGTCCTTCCGTCCCAGTTTGATGCAAACACACACACACACACAAAAAAAAGGTAATCATGCCTTCTGTTTTAGTCCGAACTCTATGTGCGGGGCAGATGAGCTGAGAGACTCATGCATAAGTAACACTTGCAGTAGCAGCAGCAGAAGTCGCAGAAAAGGAGCGGGAAACCGTTTAAAAACATCACTGAGTCCTATCAGTCTTAAACAAGATCTCAAGCTGAAGTTCCAGATCTGTGTGTGCGTGTGTGTGTGTGTGTGTGTGTGTGTGTTCTTGGCAATGAAAACACTCGTCCAGATCGTGCCCATCGAGGAGCACGTGTGTGTGATGTACAGTAGGAGGGCGTGTGTGCGTCCTGAGTAACCTTGTGTCTGTGTGTCGAAGGAGCTTAAAGATAAGTTCAGCTCTCTGACTCGGTCACAGGGTCTTTCTGATGGGGGGTGGGGGTCAGAGTTCAAACGACCCATCTGCCTCCAGGTGGGAGAGGTGAGGTCAGGGGTCATGGTGTTGCAGGGCCTGCTGTAGCTTCGTTTTGTAAAGGGCGTATTTGTGCTGCACCGCTCGAACGCGCTCCGCCTCCTCCTTCTCCAGGATGACCAGGAAGTTTTGCAGTTCGGGGACCGAGAAGGCGTGCCACTGTGGGAGAAAGAGAAGAGACGTTCCTTTATTTACTTCCTTTATTTTAGTTCCTTTCCGCTGATAAAGATGAACGACTGGGTGCTTTTACTCACCTCGACCTCTCCGGTCTCGTTTTCCTTGAGCACAAAGGTGAGCTGCTCCGCGTCGGGTCCCGCGATCAGCCTGAGCAGAAGAGGGCGCTCCGACAGAGGGAGTTTCTGGAACAAGTCTGCGCGACAAGACACGTCTGTCAGAAACGAGTCAGTGAAAGCTTGAACCCCCCCGCTGCGACACGGAGCAGGAAGTTCCCCCCTCACCYTGTCCGTCGCGGTGCGTCTGCCGGTACAGCGCGAACTTGCGGGGGTTGTCCAGCACCATGAACTTCTTCAGCAGGCCCTGGATCACCTCCCTGGTGGTGGTCTGAGAGCTGATGTGGAGCTGCTTCACGCAGTCGCACGGCAAGTAGAAGGACGTCCTCCTGTCGCTGTAGCCGCACTCCGTTTCCTCCTGGTCCTCGCACGGGTTGCCGTTCCCCTCCGAGCCCGGCGGCCTCACGGCCGGGACGGTGACGGGTCGACTCAGCCGCAGGTGCACCTTAATGAAGCCGGTGTAAGACCCGTCTTCAGCCTGGGAAAGACCAAAATAAAACAAGGAGTCAAGAGTAGTGAGGGTTCTGTATGAATAAGAGGTAAGAGAGCCTAAAATCACATTTTCCATTTGAAAGAGTCTTTAGAAAGTCCCAGGATGACTATTTTGTCTGAACTTAGTGTCAAAAATGCCCCTACCAGGAAAACATGTTAAAACATTAAAAAAAAACTTATTTTTAGAGGCTTTGCCACTTCTCTAACAGGGTTCCAGCTTAAGGCATTAAATTTAAGACTTTTTAAGCCCTCTTTAATGCCACCTGAAATGAATTTTAAGACCCAATTCACAATAGATACAAATGCAGAAAAAATAAGCAGTTGGTGACAATTTTACCCAAATGTTTATTTTAAAACAGAACAACTAGCTCGGTAAATTATTAAAAAACAAACAATAACACAAAGGTTACCAATTATTTTAATATTTGAGACAATTTACAGTCATCCTACTCACAATTTGTTAACGTTTTTAAGACCTCTGAAAGATTGATTTAAGACATTTTAAGGTTAATTAAGGCCTTATTTTTGGTTTGACAAAATCAATGCATTTTAAGACTTTTTAAGGATCTGCGGGAACCCTGTCTAAATCCTTTCCAATAAATGTATGTATTGTTTTACCACATGACAGCAACCAAAGTAAAAACAGCTGGCATTTATTGTTAAAGGAAATAAAACAATCAACTCTCAGTCCCATAAATCACAAGAAAAACAAGTACGAACTCACCTGTTTCATGCCATTTTCTGACACCTGAGTGTTATATTCTTCTATCTTGGCCCGCACCTCTTCCTCTGACAGGTCTTTAGTCCCTCCCTCCTCTTCCTCCTTGGTCTGACTTTGCTGGAAGGCAAAAGAAAGAAAGAAAGAAAAAAACATCAGCAATGAACGATTTCACAAATTAAATCACTTTATCTCAACCARCAGATGGTGCTGCATCAACACGGCCAGAAAAAAAAGGCAAAACAAATCATTTTTTTTGTTTTTGCTCAAATTTAGGAGGAAACACTGGGAACTCTTCCACCTTGGACTGACAATGTGGCCACTTGAAGTCATTTTACGGTTACAAACGAGACGAAGGCTGCTCCTCTTCGTCAGTACAGGTTTATGTGATGCGGCGGTTTTACACAGAGTCAGGAAAGGTTGTGAATGGAGCACGTTCAGCGTCACGGCGCAGGAATATCGACAGCCTATTCSTTTCAATGAAAGAGAGGAAGAGAGGGGGAAGAAAACCATGAAAGAAGGAGGAGGAGGAGGAGTAGAAGGGGCGAAGAAGGATGAAAGAATAGCTGCTGAGCCAGCCTTAGCAACACAGTTTGACTGAGTTATTTATAGTTCAGTGGGATCCATCCTGCCTCACAAAAGCTTTTCCCTCCTCTCTCTTCTTCTACAGTTTGTTTGTATTTTCTGAAG